GGCACATTCGTTTTTTAACTTCGCAAGAGTTTCACGGATTGAGGGCGGTTCATTTTCAAAATGTGGTTCTCGCCTCAGCGCGACGCACATTCGTTTTTGAATTTTGCAAGAATTTCACGGATTGAGGGCGGTTCCTTTTCAAAATGCGGTTCTCGCTTGAGCGCCGCACACATTCGTGCACAACATGTGCAGGAGTTTCACGGCTTTCCATCATCGTAACAGAAATGGTGTTTCGAGAGGATTCAGGACTATGCGGGCGCAACAGTTATGTTGATTCGCTGTGTTGAAGTCCCAGCAATGGCGTTCTGGCATGATTCAGGATCGACAAGATGCAGAAGTCGGGTTGATCCGTGGCGCTGAAATCCCGAGAACAATGTTTTGGCATGCTTCAGGGTCTTCAAACAGTTGCCTTCCAACGAGGCAGCCCCTCAATGGAAATGAACCGATGTAAGGTCCTATGATGAGGGAGTTTGGAGGGAGGGCTTGTTCCAACATCGTTGATGACTCTTGGGTTTACACCGGTCCTCCTCCTCCTCCTCCTCCTCCTCCTCCTCCTCCTCCTCCTCCTCCTCCTCCTCCTCCTGGCCCCCAGGAGCCCTGGCGGAGTTCCGCCCCCCCGAGCGCGGCCTCGGGGAAGAAGCGGCCTGCGGCGAGGCCGGCGGGCCTCAGGCGCGGCGGCGCCCCCCTCCGCCGCTCCTCCCTGCGCCTCGAATCCGTGTCTGCCTCATCCCGGCCTCTTCCCTTACTTCATTTCTTCTTTGCTTCCTTCCTCCCTCCCTCCATCCGTCCGTCCTTCCTCATCCTTCCTCTTGCCCCCCCCCCCCCCTCCCCCCTCATTTTCCTCCTCCTCGTCTCTCCTCCTCTTCTCCTCCTCTTCCTCCTCCTGCTCCTCCTCGTCCCTTTTCTTACACCCTCCGCCCGCCTTCCTCCTCCTCGTCTCACCTCCTCCCCCCTCCCCTTAAATTCCTCCTCTTCCTCCTCTTCTTCCTCTTCCTCGTCCTCCTCCTGCTCCTCCTCCTCCTCCTCCTCTTCCTTGTTGGCACGAGGCGGACCTCAGCAGTGAGGGTTGTAGCATGTCCCTCTTCCTCCTCCTCCTCCTCCGCCTTCCCTTACCTTCCCTTCCTGCTCCTGCTCCTGCTCCTCCTCCTCCTCCTCCTCCTCCTCCTCCCCATCATCATCATATTCTTCTTCTTCATCAGCATCATCATCATCCACATCATCTTCCTCCTCTTCCCCCTCCTCCTCCCCTCCTCTCTTGATCTCCTCCTCCTCCTCCTCCGCCTCCTCCACCTCCTCCTCCTTCTCCTCCTCCTCCTCCTTTTCCTACTACTTATACTTCCCGCTCCTGCTCCTGTTCCTGCTCCTGTTCCTGTTCCTCCTCTTCCTCTTGCTCATCCTGATCCTCCTCCTCCTTCTCCTCATTATCCTGCTCCTCCTCCTTCTCCTCATCATCATCCTCCTCATCTTCCTCCTCCTCATCTTCCTCCTCCCCTTCCTTGTTGACACTAGGCGGACCTCAGCAGTGGGGGCTGTAGCGTTTCCCTCTTCCTCTTCTTCCTCCTGCTCCTGCTCCTGCTTCTCCTCCTCCTCCTCCTCCTCCTTCTCCTCCTCCTCCTCCTTCTCTTCCTCATCCTCACCATCACCATCATCATCATCATCATCATCATCATCATCATCATCATCATCATCATCATCATCATCATCATCATCATCATCATCCTGGCACCTTACGCGAAGGGCACACTGTCACTTGGTGTCGACGCATGGGCGTTGGGGACAAGCAGGCGGCCATTTTCTTGCTGTGGTGGAGGGTTCAGCCCCCCCGCACCATGGGTCCCTTGCCCTCCTGTGTCCAGATAGCTGTCCCGCAGTATTAGGGTCGGCGCAGCGGGGTCCGCAAAATCAGGACCTGCATCGTCTCCAGAGGCGGGTCACCGAAGGCGGTACACCACCACGGGGAAGGTGGCCGCAAGTGGGCCGGCGTCAAGCTCTTGTCCTATCCCAGCGCACTTTTTCGTCTTGGTCCACCCTTCGGGGACAACCCTTGATCGGGCCGTGTATGGCGTTAGGAATGTGTCCGCAGTCATTAGACGCCGCGCAGCAGAAGCCGCATGCCGCCCCTAAGACGCGTGCGCTCGTCTCGAGCACGCGCAGCAGCGACCGTGACGCCGCAGCTCGCGCGCAAGCACGCCGCGCAGTCCGCCGTCCGGCCTACTCGACCGGCTCGCGCCGACCGCCGGGGTCTCCTCCTCCTCCTCCCCTCCTCCTCCTCCTGCTCCTCATCTCGCCTCCTCCTATCCTCCTCCATTCTCCTCCTCTCTCCCTCTCCTACTCCTTTCCCTCTCCTCCTCTCCTCCTCCTTCCCCCTCCTCCTCCCTCCCCCCCTTCTTCACCTCCGAAACCGCAGGCCTCCTCCTTGGAGCCCTGGCCTGACCGCTCTCGCGGCTTGTACGCGAGGACCTCAAGCGCGTCGCTGGCGAGGAGCAGCTGGCAGCACTCTCCTGCCGTCGCCTCGCTTCCCTCCTACTGGCCCAAACGTGCAACGTCCTGAAAGAAAAAGCCAGGGCGAAGGAGATGTCCCTAAACTTTCGGCCCCTGGAGGCATTCACCAGGTCCCGGGACCGTCAAAGACGACTTGGCGATGAGAGGCCGGCCCTGGGGAAGGGGTGGGACTTCGTGGGATTGCGTGTAGAGACAGTGAGGACATCGCGTGTCTGGGGATGTCTTGCTTCTGGCCCCCCCTTCTTGGGTGCACTGCGACGCCGACCCGCAGCCGTTGCCAGGGTTGCCCCCGCAGCCAGGCCGCGTCCAGCCACCCGCCGCAGCCTCGCTGCGCGAGTGCGCCCCGCGCGTCCCCCCCCCTCTGCGGTCGCCTCCTCTACTTCCCATTTTGCACGCGGACTAATTCGCGACTCCGTGCCCCGGTTTCGCTCGGACGCGCGCGCGGATTGCCTCTGCCGCGCTGCGACGTAAAAAGTGTTCAGGGGTGTTTCTCTGACTCTCCAGTTGGCCCCCCTTCCCCTAAGCCCTAAGCTCCCGCGTGCGGCACAGCAGCCAGTTCGGGCGCGTCGCGATCGTGTCCACCCGTCCGGTCTCGAACGGGCTTGCGGTGGCGGTATGTCTCCGAGGTGCATGATGGCGGAAAGCATACACCCGATAACCTGTCGGCGAGGGAGGCAGGGGACCAACTTCACCCTCCACGCAGGCGTCGTTCTGGTCCGAAGCTCCCGTCGAACGGTTGCGAGGCAACCGCTTATTTTCCACACCGAACAACTTCAGCCGCGAGCCCAGAACAGGCAGCGGTGATCCCCTTTCCGTCGACCAAGATCCCCGAGACCCAGCAAGGGCGTCCGATGGCGACGAGTCTCGCTTTGGCTGCCGACAGCTCAGCAAGAGGCTACGGGCCCCGACCAACCGCAAGCGGTGAAAGAGGGCCCATGATGACGACACTGACATCGACACCTGGCATGATGAGACATGCGATATGTCGATAAACGATAAGGTCGACCAGCGACAACGTCAAAAAGCTGAATCACGGTATCTATTGTCGCCATGCCATTAACAAATACGAGAAAGAGGCCAAGCTACATGGCTTCGCCATAGACACTCTATGTACCTACGTCCTCGTACCTGCTTTGTTCGACACGGTCATGGGCACATGGTTCATGTGCTTGGAACGCCACGGCAAGTTCCACGCCAACTCCCAAGATTTGTCGCCACTGCTGCTGAGTATGAAAACTGCCATTGGCCCCGCGGAGCATGTGTCTGGCAAGTTGGTTTGAACGGTCGCATCCATGACCAAGCCCACCCGATTCCAGGCCCAGCACCAGCCGCAGATGATAAACATGTGCCTCTACGCGGCCCCACAACATCGGAAACGGGATCACCATTTGCACAGCCATACTATCGCAGCACCAGGTACGACCAACGGCCACACACTTACACAGTTGTGGATCAGTGGCAATTCCGAGCACTTCAGGACTGAGGACAGCATTACGATGGCCGTGGTACAGCTCCACAGCGCCATACGTGCGTGGACGTTCACGGCCAGATTACCCAGCTACGCAGAAGCTATCTGTTACCCGGACCTCATTCACAGTTGCCTTGTATGGGAACCCTGCAGATGATGACATTGGCATTGGGACTAAATTCGCGCAAGAAAAGTTATTCGGCCACTTGCGTGAAGATCACAGTTTCCTCGACATTGGCGAGCCCAGCACCATCCCGTCTCGGATCCTACGAGCGAAGGCGATCCAGCTTGTCGAGGAGGAGACACGGTGGCGATTGCAATTGGGCTTCGAGGGCCTTCAACATGCAGTTGGGTTCCTTCGTGCAGCGTTCCGACGAGCTTGCGAGAACGAGAGGCGCATAGGCTCCGTTGGCGCGTTCCTGCTCTACGCACGTTGCATACCTGACTTCGTGAGGTTCCTACCGGCAAGAAGTTCCAACCAGCTCGAGTCACATGACACCAGTAGTTGTTGGACCAAGCGAGCCCATGATGTAATCAAATGTTCAACGTGGCGCCAGGCTGGTCGGCCCGTGCGGGCGAGATCATGAATACGTGCGACGGTGTACAGGCACAAGAAATATCGTTATATGTGCCCTTCTCGCCCTCCTGTTGCAGGACGCCCCCTGTCGCGCTTCCAGACTGTTTCCAGGAAAGTCTGGATCAGCAGTAGTTCCTAGGGCCCTGCATGCCACGACTGTTTGATACAATGGGTAGTTTGCCACTGTACTTCTTGAGTGGTTCTAGTGACAGCTCGCTCTTCCCGGGATTGCCTCCACGTCATGGGCCGTTATGGATTCCCATAGTGTAGGTTTTTGGTCGGCCAGCATGACGTGGCAGCTCAGGATTACAGTTCAGAACCGTATTTGTTGCTGCAGCGCCTCAGACAATCACAGTGTAGTGGTTAATGAAACTAGTCCCCGAACTTGTCTATCCAGTTAGGGGCCTAAGCCGTCGATGATGCCAGACGCATGTGGCGTTGCGAAATTGTATACGGTTTCAGTCACACACACACACGTTCCACAGACATTTGCAGTGCAGGAGACAATCCAAACAGTGCCCAAACCTGTCTGGGGCTTCATACACGATGATCGTCACAACCCTATGTTTACTCGTTGCACGTCTCTCTGCTTGCAGATGTTCTCCTGGCAGATGAGAATGTCGCAGAATCAGGGTAGCCCTTCCTTCGGCACGGCCACATATTTGGGGTAGTAGAGCAGTGGGGGTTGAGTTGCACACGGTCGCCATGGTGGGCACATCGGTTTCATCATGACTCAGAGTCCCCATCCCCGCTTTTCCGATTCCCCGCCCAGGCGCCCCCCCGCGTGAGGGGAGACCTCTTCGCCCAGCTCGCCGCCGAACGGGGCCCGCGCAGCGGTGCTGCTGGGGCCCTGGGCCCGCAGTGGTGGTCCTTCTCCTCCTCTGGGGCCCGCCGTGGTGCCCACCCGCCTGCTCGCCCGCAAGTGTCACTGCCGCGCCGCCGTCACGCCAGGCTTCCTTGCTGGGCGGCGCCCCCGCCAAGGCGACCGCCGCCCCGCACGGCCGGCAGAGCGGGGCCGCGGCCGCCTCTCGACGGCGGCGGCGACTGCTACGAAGGCGACGACGGCGACAACGGCGGCGGCGGCGCTGTCGACGGCGGCGGCGGCGACGACGAAGGCGGCGGCGATGACCACGGCGGCGGCGACAACGGCGGCGGCGGCGGTCACTCGGCCGCGTCCGCGCGACCTTACCCTGCGGAAGCGCAAACACGGATTGAGGCGCCAGGCCCGTGGATATCTTGAAGTCATGTTAGTTTGCGCCCTAAGATTCCCAGGAGGACCCCACGACCTCTGGAGCACCCCTCACAAGGCCTAGAAGGCCACAGGGGTTCCAGAATGGCGCGAAAAGTTGGGAACACCTTCGGCCAGGTAGTTTTTGGGGTGTGAAGCCCTCTTGGGCGTGTCTGTGGGGAGTGTTTGGGGAGTCTCTTGGGGTGTCTTTGGGGCCTCCTGGGCTGTCCCAGGAGCCCCTTTGTGCCGCCTTCGAACCTTATTGGAGGCCTACTGGGAACGCTGTTGGGTATCTTGAAGGCCTGGTGGGCGGGCACGAGTTCCAGGAGGGGATCAGCAGCAGCCGCGCAGGAGTAGCAGGAGGAGAGGAGGGCACATGCAGGAAGAAGACGACACATGGATGACGGAGGTTTCGGCTACGTTCGTTTGTCTCATCATCGTGCCCGCATCGCCGCCGCGAGAGTGTCTTCGCCTACATTCATGCGTGCAGCATACTGCTCAGGAAGTGCCAGGTCTTTCCGGGATGGCGTCTATCTCGGTAACCACATGTATCCTCTTGTTCCTAGCGGCGCACCGTGCGGCCGGCAGAATGGGGCACGTTCACATGTCCACAGATTGGGACGTGGTGTTGAACGCGTCGGGCTCCCACCAGGGAAGCATTGCTGGCAGCACTCCTGGCTTCCTTGGCAATCGATCCGTGCCGCCTGTGGGCGAGACGGTGCTTGAGCCCGGAACGGCGTTCAAGGCCGACCTCCAAATGGCGGTCGCGATTTTTTGCGTCCCATCGATCCTATACTTATTGGCCACGGACATGTTGAGGCAACCAAGTCTGGCTGTGATCTGTTTCGTCTGTGCTGTGTACATGGTTTCCAGCCTGGCAATGAACGTTCTCAACAAAAGGGCGGCGAAGGCGTTCGAGGGTACCTGTCTTCTGGTCATCATACAGATGCTGGTGTCTGTTGTCGTAATCGTTTGTATGGAACGTGACAAGTTGAGGCTGGACAAGTGGGCGGACTTCCTACGGTGGCTCATCGTGCCGTTCGCTTTTGCCGGCATGCTCGGCACATCCATGTTCGCATTCAAGGAGGCAAGTTTGACGACGATCTTGATTATAAGGAACATTTTACCGATCTTGAGCTTCGGGTTCGAGAAGGCTCTGTTCAACCAGCCAGACTCAATGTGCTGGAAAGTGGTCATGTCGTTGGCGGTGACTTTGATGGGCAGCGTGCTCTACGGATTCGCCGACATATCCGCCACAAACCTTGGCAAGGTCCTCATCCTGGCGAATTGCCTCTTCACCATCCTGGACCGGCTTGTGCAGGCCCACCTGCTCAGGGGAAGCAGTGATTTCAGCATGAGCATTCCAATGTGCATGCTTGTCAACAACTCTTTAGGGATAGTCCCCATGCTCGTGCTTGCAGTGCTGAAGGGCGAGACCACAGGCTGGGGCCACGCCCTCGCGTCTGCAGACAAGAACACCTGGTTCCTGGTGGCGATGTCAGGGCTGTGCGGCGCGTCCCTGAGTTACGTGGGACTTCGCACACAGCAGCTCGTTTCAGGTACCACCGTGCTCGTGGTGCAGAACTGCAACAAGCTGCTGATCATCTCGATCGGCGTGGGCCAATTCCACGAGAGCATGACTCCAGTTTCGCTTATAGGCTGCGTCGTCTCCCTCCTGGGATGCTTTGCCTACGGCTACCTGCGTTTGCCTGTTGAGGCCAGGTCGAATGGCCAGTCCAAGGAAGAGGCAGGCAGGAACGAGCTGACAGCGGCAACGAGGTCGGCCAAGGTGTGAGCCGTGCGCCGAATTTGCTGACACCGATACGCTAGGAGAATGTGAGGGAAGCATCGCGTGCAGATCAAGCAAGTGGAGAGGGAATACGCAAGCAGTTCCAATCATGCTTCTGACATATATATATACATACAATCAAACAAAACATATGCATGCGTGCGTGTGTGTGTGTGTGATTAAGGCGGGTGGTTGCCTTACTTGTAGGCTTACCGTCGATACGGTGACTCCTGACTTGTAAGGTTGGATCGATTTGGTTTGGCCCAGCTTCACACTTATCAACAGAGGTTCGCAGTTGAGTTGGCACAGCAGCCCAGTGGAGCCAGCATCGTTTACTTTTCGTTCTGTCGCAGTGTCAGCGTCGCCGATGTGAATATTATTTCATAGTTGGTGTCATCCAAGGCGTTGCCCGCGTAACTCAGCCAGGCCTGCCTGACTTAGAGTACGTTGGTGTGGCTGATCTTCAACGTCAGATGACAGCTAGTTTTAGACATTGAGTACCCCAGAATACATATGTGTGTGTGCATGAGGGTGTAGACAGAGCCGTGTGCCTAGCTGCCTAAGTTTTGCAGGGTCCGGATTGGCCTTTATACGCATTGCAATAGTTTAGCCAAACAGCATTTGGTTTGCACATTTGCTTCAACTCTGACCCCTATCGTGGCTAAGATTTGACATTCAGCAGCATATTGTGTTACTCTAGGTCGTCGCGGCGCGAGTTGGCATACGAATAAGCCTGTAAGATCACCGGCATCGCCGATACACATGCAGTTTCAGATTTTTGCTGCTCATATCCATGTGTTGGTGTACGCTCTACACGGGGACAGCCTGGCTGACACGGCATCCTTGGCATGCCGTTTGGTGTTCGCCGTGCTTCTACGCTCGTGGTCGACTTGGCTTCAGCTCAGCTTCGGCTGGCCTGGCGCAGCACGCCGAGGCACCGCCGCCCCTCCCTTCCGGGAAGCCCACGTGTGTGTGCGTGGCGGATAGCTTGGCCAGGGAACCGATGCAGCTCGGTGATGGCGGCCTCTGGAAGCGCTCGTGCGATGCCTGGAGGAGCGTACGGAAGCCTCTGGAGGCTTGTCTGACACCCTGCCTGTCTGGAAGTCCGATCTGGCCAGCTGGTGGGATCCTCCGAGGAAACACAGGGGAAGTGATGTCCGCTGGAGCCCCTCGGGAGGGGGGGGGGGAGAGGGGCTGCGAGGCTTTCCACGGACTTTAGGGAGGTCCTTCGGGCCGCCCTGGCGGCCTCTGAGACCATTTGGCGCATTCCGGAAAGAGCATCGTCTTCGGCCTCAGCTGCCTCGATGCGCCCATGTCGCCATGTAACACGCACCGTGCTCAAATCGGCCGCTTCCATCCGTTGCGTGTTGGCTCCACGTGTTGGCCCACGCTTTGGCGAACGTATCGCGCCCGACATACGTTGCCAGACGAAGTGCTGGGCTCCGCATCAATGCGCTGCGTGCTGCGTGCTGCGCATCGGGGCAGCGACGTCCTCGGCGCAGCCTCGCTGCCGGCGCAGAGGCTGGCAGAGGCAGAACGTCGGCGGGCCCGCCACGACGGAGGGCGGCGGAGGTATGAAGAGCGAGACGTCCTCGGTTGGGGGCGCCCAGCGTCTGCCATTTGGGGCTCCCCCTACTTCGGGAGCCT